CGCCAACCTGGCAACCTACGAGATGTGCTCGGCCACAAATTCGACATGCATATCCAAACACTCTCACGATCCTTGGAAGTTGTCCCACGTGCCAAACAATCCAGAGGGTAGTCAACATGCATGGCGGTTACCTCAAGGAATCTCAGACCACTTAGACGACTTTTCAGAAATCTCGGATATGGTGCGTGAAGCCCACGCCAAACAATGCCTATATAAAGGCACCAACCCCAATGGCATAGGGGGGGCAACTAAGCATATTCGGAGCGACCTCGCCAGGTTAGCCCCCCTGGGTCCTCTGACCATTAATTCCTTGCAGGTCTCTAAAGAACTACAAAGCTCAACAATCAATTCATCTCGCCACCAGCCAGCTCGACACTCTGGTCAGCTCGGCACCAAATAGGCAGCTTGGCCCTCTGGTCAGCTCGGCAACTAATAGGTAGCTCGGCACTATGGTCAGCTCGGCTACTAATAGGTAGTTGGCACTCCGATCAACTCGTCACCTAATCTACCTAGCTCGGTCCAGTTAGCTCATCACCTAACCTGCCTAGCTCGGCCCAGTCAGTTCGACACCTAACCTGCCCAGGTCGGTCTAGTTAACTCGGCACCTAATCTGCCCCCAGCTCGGCATCCATGTCCTCATCCAGCAAAAGTTCACTTCGGCCTCTGAGTCATCGGCCACTTGGAAGTAGACCAAATGATGAGGTACTTAGCACAAAAAATTGATTCATCAATTGGCGCCGTCTATGGGAAACGCTACAAAAAGCTAAGTTCTCATCCTCCAAAAGGCCAAGTCCTCTTCTTCCAGAAAACTAAGTTCTCACCTTTTAGAAACTAAAAGCTCTCACTTTCTAGTTTTCATTTTTTATGAAATCAAAGACTATGCAGGAAGTTGATGGCCAACAGACTAAGCAGCTCTACCAACTTTATTTCAACTCGGATAAAGCCTTATTAGTCCTCTTCGCGAGGTACACTCTACAAAGATGAGCTCTTCGTGGCTTCTGCGGGAGTAGGCGGCCAATAGACTGCATGGACGCCCTTGCTGGTCGAACCTTCCAAGGCTCCCGTGCGAGATGGTGACCTAAAGAAAATAGTGCTGCCCCCGTAGGTCGAGCTCGTAGTAGCTTCTTATAGGAGTGGGTAACCGATGTCACTAACAAGGCTGATGTAGCGCAGCCGTAGCTCATAGCCACGACCTGGCGGCCTGGCACAGGCATGAACTGGCGGCCTAGCCCAGGCACGACCTAGCGGCCTGGCACGAGCGCCGACATGGCGGCCTGGCGCTGGCGTGACCTAGTGCCCTGGTCCTGGCATGACCTGGCGGCCTAGCCCAGGTGCCGACCTAGCGGCCTGGCTCAGGCGCGAACTGTCGAACTGATAAAAGACCTCGGCACCACATAAGTCCCAGTGGCCTCCTCGGCATGGGCATACAAGTCCCACTCGCCTCCTCGGCATGGGCACATAAGACCCAGTCGCTTCTTCGACATGGGCAAAATCAAAGATCAAGGAGAGTGGACTACGAGTTGCTCCCAGAGCGTAAGGGCTAAAGTGCCGAACTGATAAAAGACCTCGGCACTACATAAGACCCAGTCACCTCTTCGGCATGGGCGAAATCAAAGATCATGGAGAGTGGACTACGAGTCGCTCCCAAATCCTAAGGGCTAAGTGCCGAATTGGCAAAGACTTCGGCACCGCATAAGACCCAGTTGCCTCTTCGGCATGGGCAAAATCAAAGATCAAGGAGAGTGGACTATGAGTCGCTCCAAGATCCTAAGGGCTAAAGTGTTGAACTGGCAAAGACTTCGACACCACATAAAACCCAGTCGCCTCTTCGGCATGGGCGAAATCAAAGATCAAGGAGAGTGGACTACGAGTTGCTCCTAGAGCCTAAGGGCTAAAGTGTCGAACTGGCAAAGAATTCGGCTCCACATAAGACTTAGTCGCTCTTCGGCGTGGGCAAAATCAAGGGTAAGGAGAGTGGACTGCGAGTCGCTCCCAGAGCCTAAGGAATTGAATTGACGCTTACGAGCTCATCGAATTAATCATTTCAGGCCAAAAGGAGCAAATCTACTCCCTTCGCCGAGTTACTTTCAGCTCGAGAGTGGGGGGCAAATGATGAGGACGGATTTGGCCCTCCAATGATATTGTGACACATGGCACCTCGGAACAACTAGGTGACACCAGGAACCACTTTGGCAACAACTTGCCTCAGCCAAGTCGATGATGTCCCACCTGGCGGCCTAGCCCAGGCGTCGAC